ATAAAACCTACTTAATTATGATAAATTATCTTTCTATCATGCTGTTGGACTCAGTTTGCTAGTATTTTGTTGATTTTTGGAACTATGCTCATCATGGATATTGGCCTGTAATTTTCTTCTATTGCAGTTTCCTTGTCTAGCTTTGGTATCAGGGTAATGCTGGCCTTGTAAAATGAGTTTGAAAGTAGTCTCACCTCTTCATTTTTTGGAAAAGTTGTGCAGGATGGTGTTAACTATTCCCTAAAGGTTTGGTAGAATTCACCCATGAAGCCATCTGGGTTTTTTCTTTATTTGGATGTTCTTAATTATCAAGTCAATCTCTTTTCTCATTATTGGTCTTTTCAGATTTTCTGCTTATACATGATTTGGTCTTGGTAGGTTGTATGCTTCTAGGAATTTACTATTTTTTCCAAATTATCGAATTTGTTTGAGTATAATTGTTCATAATAGAATCTTATGATCCTTTGTGTTTTTGTGGTATCAGTTGTAATGTTTTCTCTTTCGTTTATTATTTATTTATTTATTAAGTTTTCTCTCTTTTTATCTTATTCTAGTGAAAGATTTATCAATATTATCTCTTGACAAAACCAACTTTATATATCATTGATCTTTCCTATTGTTTCCTAATCTCTATTTCATTTACTTCTGCTCTGATCTTTGTTACATCCTTTCTTCTACTGCCTTTAAGTTTGGTTTCTTCTTCTTTTTCTAATTCCTTGAGGTATAAAGTTGGTTATTTATTTGTGATCTTTCTTTTTTCTTCATACAGGTACTCATTGCTATAAATGGCCCTTTTAGAATTGCTTTTGCTGTATCCCACACATTTTGGTATGCTGTGCTTCTATTTTTGCTTGTCTCAAGATATTTTTTATTTCCTTTTTGATTCTTTCATTGACCCATAAAATTTTCAGGAATGTGTTCTTCAATGTCTACACATTTGTCAGTTTTTCAGTTTTCCTCATGTTATTGATCTCTAGTTTAATACTATTTTGGTCACAAAAGATGCTTGATTTTTTTTTTTACAGAGTCTTGCTCTATTACCCCAGGTAGAGTGCAGTGGCATCATCATAGCTCACTGTAACCTCAAACCCTAGGCATAAGTGATCCTCCTGCCTCAACCTCCTGAGTAGCTAGTACTACAGGTGTGCACCACCAAGCCCAGCTAACTTTTCTATTTTTATTAGAGATGCGGTCTGTTTCTTGCTCAGGCTGGCCTCAAACTCCTGAGCTCCAGCAGTTTGCCCACCTCAGCCTCCCACAGTGCTAGGATTACAGGTGTGAGCCACCACACCCAGCCTTCTTATGGTTTCAATCTTCTTAAATTTGTTAAGGCTTGTTTTATGGCTGAACATATGATCTATCTTGGAGACTGTTCTGTGTGCCCTGCAGAAGACTGTGTATTCATTTTTGAGATCCATTGCAGAGCATAATGAATATATTTAATAATAGTGTATTGTACATTTCCAAACTGCTAAGAGCTTATTGAAGATTTTTGTTCCCCTAAGTTACCACCCCTTTGGTTTTTTTTGTTGTTTGTTTGTTTTTTTATTTTTTTTGGAGACAGGGCCCTCACTTTATTGCCCAAGCTGGAGTGCAGTGGTGCAATCATATAGCTCACTGTAACCTCAAACTCCTGGCCTCCAGCAATCCTCCTGCCTCAGCCTGTTGAGTATCTAGGACTACAGGCACCTGCCACCACACCAGGCTATATAAAAAAAATTTTTTTTTTGCAGAGATAGGCATTTCACTATGTTGGCAGACTGGTCTTGAATTCCTGGCTTCAAGTGAGCCTTCTGCTTCAGCCTCTTAAAGTGCTGAGATTACATGTGTGAACCACTATGTCAGGCCACTACACCTTTTTAAATGGACACCTGACTTCTCCCAGAGCTATTTTCATTTGAGTATAGCTATCTAATTGTTGTGTGGGCTAAAGGCTGGGATCTCCTACCCTGCCATCTTGTTGACACCACTCCCCATATAACTTTTAATCTGAATATCAATGATAGGATATTGACAAGGAAATATTGTTATCTCATTTTATGGGTGAATAAGCTAAGGAATAAAGATAATTTTATAAGGTCGATAGTTTAAAAAAAGTGAAACCTAAATTGGAAACCATGTCTTCTAATTGGTGAAATGAAATTATTTACCACAATATTACTTCCAAACTATCTTCTTTCCATGAGTCTGGCATGACATTGATTTGATGAAATCTTTTTGAGGTTCCTTAGTCAGAAAGGATTTCTCCCTCTTTGGAATTTTCAAAGAATTTTGTTTGCACTTCTCTTGGCACATCTGTGACATGTGCACCATCGCACATGTCACATTCTATATTAATTATGCTGTAAACTTCTTATTTTACTTACAACATTATAGGTTACTAGGTGACAGAGAACAGGACATACATATTTTTATTCCAGAGAATGTACAGAACAGTGCCCTATATGTAGTGAGAGATCAGTAGGAGCAAGAAGCATATTTTATATAAAGAATGAATGATTCTATTACCTTTAACACACTTCTTTAAACCATTTCTTATCCTGGGTTCTGATTAATTTGATATTACATCATTTTGTGTATGAGAGTAAGTGAAAAGGACCACACCATACCCATAGATATAAATAAACAAGGTCCAGGATTAAACAAGAATTTATACATGAATGAAGATTCAGCTTCCCAGGTCTCCTGGACATAGTCTTGGCAGTACACAGTGTGTTTCCCTAGAGCCAGGACAGACATAGTGTAAGTTGGCCCCTGAGGAGAAGACGCAGGAACAGGTAGGCAAGTGCTGAATATATTATCCTGTCTCTGCTCTTGTCTTCTTGCCTTAGAGCTGCCGTACCTACTAAGTAGACTAAACAAGGACCAAACATGGTTCTTTAGAGTATAAGAATCTGCAGACCAGTTAATTTCTGAAGATTTTTCACTTCTTAGGGTAAAGACAGATGGACCATGAAAAGTGGTTGGAGAACCAAGAGAAATTGACTGATTCCTGAAGAAAACTTCTAGAAAGGTCACGAAGGACCTTGGAAAGTGGCTGCAAGTATCATTCCTAAACAGGAAAAAGACTATGCTGGGAAATGAAATGGGAAAGGAAGATCCGGTACATCTTAACTTAAAGTTTGGGGAATGTGGGGAGGTCTGGATATTTTAGGTGGTGTTGGACAAGCAGAAAGAATACATTTCTTGTTATAGAAGAAGTCTGTCAGTGTTGATATTTTCCCTTAAGTACAAGCACATACAGAACTATAAAATAAGTCCTATAGCATAATGAAAAGATTTTTTTTTTTTTTTTTTTTTTACCTAGGATATCAGAGAGAGCCCATAGCTCAGTGCTTTTGGTTTTAAAACAAGAGCAATAAAATGATACGATTCTTTATTCCTACAGGTTTTAAACCATAGACCTCTGGAGTATCATTTGTTGAAAAAAGTGGGGGAAAATATAATATAAACGGTTATGCTTAAGTAATAAAAGCAATTCATCAAAGAGTCAAATAGGAAAAAGTCACGAGTGATCTATAACTTAAGAAATTTTCACAGATGCTATAATCCTGTTCTCCAGGAAACTTGGGTTATTTTATTCCCCAGAATATAGCAAGAAAAGTGAGTAAAAGAGAGAGAATGAATGACTGTGTGTGTTTATAAATACATGTGAGTGAAAATGTGAGCATGTATAATTAAGTAAATATGTATGAGTCTAATGTGACATAATAATAATACTTACAGAAAATAACTTTGGGTCAAGTCCTACGTTAAGTGCCTTCCATGCATTATTACATTCAATTCTCACAACACATTCCATTAAGGTAGGCCTTATTATATTTTTTCCCATTTTATAGAAGACAGCATGGAAGTACGTAACTGTTAAGTGATCTCTCAAGTATGACACAACTGCTATGTGATGGAAACAAGACTGAAATATTGTCCTAACACTAAAGTCAGTGCTATTAAATTTTATGCAGAGGTGAATGTATTGTAAATTGTGTGGCCAAACATGCAATTGTGGATTATTACAAATATCCTAAAGAGTAGGGTCCTCTGCATTGGTGCTGCTTCCCACTGGGGCTAGATCATGGGTAAAACTAGATACTCTCTGCTTCCAGACCAGTTTCTTCCCCCAAAAAAATCATTTGGTCAAAGGCATTGAAGAACTAGGGCAGGTGTTCCTTAATAGTAAACTAAATACTATTACTATTAGTCAAGTGTATATTGGAGATTGAGAGTAAGGGACAATCTTTTCCTACCCAACAAAAAGTGCTAAGCTCTGCCAATGTGTGCTGCTATGGAAAAGAGACAGTGGTACCAAGAATACGTATTTCAGCACCTCCTGATTCAATCCTTTGCCATGGAACATTATTTAGAGGGTCACAAGAGATGAGGCTGCAGAAATAGGTGGGGATCAAAATATGAAGTGCCTCCTATGTTTGATAACTAAGCCTTCACATTTTTATATGAAGTCAATGCAGGAGTCATTAAGGAATTTTCCAACAGTTATTATAATTTTTAAATTTCCTCAGACTCTAATTTGAAGAAACTGTGCTGGATCAAAGCCCATGGGTCACCAAAATATTGAACTTTTGGACCTTTCTCTGACTGGATGCTATCTTCCATGTTTCCTTTCAGGCAGGAATAAATATTTGTGCAGTGAGTTCCTAATTAAATGGAGAACTGGAATCAACATGGGAGAGGTAAATGTGTCTATGTTCATTGACAAAAGAGCTGGGAATGACATAAATATTGACACTCCAATCACTGTCATCAGTTGAGAGAGAGAGAGTTGGAGTAGAAGTGCTGGGAGATTTTTACTAAAAAAACTTTAATGAAAATATGTGCTTCACATTTGAAGAAGAGTCCTTATTAACAGAACTTACTGCATGAGTCTCATTCACAGGGAAGGCTGACGTATGAACTTACTTCCATCTCTGGTCTGACATCGTAGCCATCTTCACTATTTGTGGTGTTGCTGCAGAAGACTTCCATCTCTCTCAGTGCTTTTAGTCATGCTGGAGATAAACATCACTCTGGTCAGTGAATTCATCCTGGTAGGCTTCCCCACTGCCCCATGGCTGCAAGTCCTGCTCTTCTTCCTCTTCTTTGTGGTCTATCTGTTAATAGTAATAGAGAATCTTGTAATCATGCTCACTGTTTGGGTCACTGGCTCCCTTCATAAGCCAATGTACTATTTCCTAAGTAGCATGTCCTTTCTGGAGATCTGGTATGTCTCTGTCACAGTCCCCAAGATGCTGGACGGATTCCTGCTGCAGAGACGGCACATCTCCTTCACAGGTTGCATGACCCAGCTCTACTTCTTTATCTCACTTGCCTGCACAGAGTGTGTGCTCCTGGCAGCCATGGCCTATGACCGCTATGTGGCCATCTGCCACCCTCTGCGATACTCAGTCATCATGACCACAAGTTATTGTATGCAGCTGGTGGCTTTCTCCTACATGAGTGGTTTCACTGTCTCTGTCATTAAGGTCTATTTCATTTCACATGTTGCTTTCTGTGGCTCCAATGTTATGAATCATTTTTTCTGTGATATCTCACCAATCCTCAAACTGGCATGCAAAGACATGTCCATAGCTGAGCTAGTGGACTTTGCTTTGGCTATTGTCATTCTTGTGTTCCCTCTCATCACCACTGTCCTCTCCTATATCTACATTGTCTCCACCATTCTGCGTATACCTTCCACCCAGGGAAGGAAGAAGGCCTTCTCCACCTGCGCATCCCACCTCACTGTAGTTATAATTTATTACACAGCCATGATTTTCATGTATGTCCGGCCCAGAGCTATTGCATCATTTAATTCCAACAAATTAATCTCAGCTGTGTATGCAGTTCTCACACCCATGCTAAATCCATTCATCTACTGCCTAAGGAACCAGGAAGTCAAGAACGCTATCAAAAAGACCTTGAGTGGTGGCCACTGCCTCCTGCTCAGCTCAGCCCTGCTGCCTCGAGGAAGAGACAATGTCCCATGCAGGATATCATTCCCATGACATTTGTCATGGTTATGTTTATTACTAGCACTGAAATATAGACCTGCACTCTTCAAATTTGAGAAAATTAAAGAAAAAAAAGGAAAAATTAAAGGAGAAGCTGGATATTTGATATTTATTGTTTTAACCATAAGCTACTATTAAATATACACTGTAGATACTTAATAAGTACCTTGAAACACCATAATAATAAATATGTAATAACAAATAAAAGGTGCTGTTCTTAGCACATTATACATAAGTTACTTATGATCAGTTGCCTGATATTGTAGATCAGGAAACTGAACCACAGAGAGATTAAATAAGTTGTCTGATATTGCACACCTAATTAATATCAAAGCCCTTATTTGAGCCCAAGGAGTCTAGCTCTAAAATCCACTGTATTAGATTCTCTCTATATCTAAAATTCTGTGATAGAAGTTCTAGAGGCATATTAGCTAACAAACATTGATGTCTGGAAGGAACAAGCTATCCAGTGGTTAAGATATGCATAGATCTCACGATAACTGATCATGATGTCATAGTGATGGAGACAATAGTGGTGGTTGTGATTGCCTTAGGTTAGTGATGATGGACTACTACTGATATTAATAATAATGTTGATCATTTCACAGTCCTCTTCCAATTTTAGACTCCTTCTAGAACTATAACAGCTGTTTCTCATCATAGAAGTGAAATCCATAATTTCATGGGAGATAAAAGAATTGATATTACTGTAACTTTTGCAGCTGAAATGTGTCTCTTGAGACACTTTCTTTTGAGCTCTGGAATTCTTGTCATCCTCCATGCTATATCATGACCGCATCAGCAAACTAGTGCAATATCATACATAGATATGTGTCTGAGCCAAAACCCTCAATATGTCATTATAATAATATAGGTTCTACATACAAATTAGGTAAAAAACAAATGCAAAATTTTCTAAGACAATTGAGAATATAAGATATTATTGAGACATCTGCTGACTAGATAAAGAAATGTAGTGTATCAGAGAAAATTCTAAAAATTTTCATTAAACTGAGGCTGAGTATATAAGAAATAATAAGAAAAGATACTCTGACTGTATGTAATGACCCTTTTAAGTGGGAGTCTAAAATTGGTCTCCTATTTTTATCTAAGCCACTCTCAAAGTTATTCAACATACCTTAACTAATAGTCCTTATATATTGCTCTTAAAATGTTACTCTACTTCTTAAGAATTATTGATTTTAAAAATTGGGCCCTAGTAATTTTATTTGTTATTATTATAATTTTGGAATTATTCTAGCATTCACGAACCTCAATAATATCTTCTCTCCATCTATACCAACTCAACCTTGTCCCCAATATGAAACATCCATTCTGATGATACTAATCACTTTAATGTACTAAATGATTATGACATATCGATTCTTGCCTTGCTTAACTTATTCATTTATTCATTATTTCTTGTATTCCTATTAGGCACTGTAATAGTCTGTGAGGATATAACAGTGAATAAAACAAATAGAAGCAAATTCTTTCTTCGGATAGTTTAGAGATGAGCAGAGAAGATAAAGAAACATGATATTACATGTTACAAATGTGATGATAAAAGAACTGGGTGCTATGGAAGCAAATGGTAGGTAGATGGCCAGAATGGTAAGAGAAAATGTTCTAACAGGAGTAGCATTTAGGCTAACACTTGAAGCAATTAGACAGATGAAAAATGATGGGTATTAGTGAGGGTCAGGAGTTGTGGGGAGAGGAAAGACCAAGAGTCAAAAGAGATAACAGCACACTGAAAGAACAGAAAAAGAATTAGCATGTGTGGGGCATAAAGGGGCATGAGGAAGAAAGGGGTCACATGAGGTAATAGATTCATCTCTAACAATACCAATCTTGCAATTTGTGAATTTTCTCTTATTAAAAAGATTTATGGGCCAGGCAGAATGGCTCATACCTGTAATCCTAGCACTCTGCGAGGCTGAGGGTGGAGGATTGCTTGAGCTCAGGAGTTCAAAACCAGCCTGAGCAAGAGCGAGACCCCGTCTCTACTAAAAATAGAAAGAAATTAGTCAAACAACTAAAAATAGAAAAAATTAGCCAGGCATAGTGGTACGTGCCTGTAGTCCCAGCTACCCAGGAGGCTGAGGCAGGAGGATCACTTGAGCCCAGGAGTTTGAGTTTGCTGTGAGCTTGTCTGATGCCATAGCACTCTAGCCTGGGCAACAGAGTGAGACTCTGTGTCAAAAAAAAAAAAAAATGTATGGATATACAATAAATTCTATGAAAGTATTTTCAGTTTCTGCAACTACTAGATCTCCAGCTTGTAGCACTTCTACCAGGTGAATGTAGTCATTGACAGGGTGAAGCGGAACAAAATGAGTTGATTGAATATTCGGCTTTGGCTGCAGTATGCTTTCACTCTGAATAAGAAGTATCAGTTATCAATTTATGTGTTTGCCTTCCCCACTATATTGTGAGTTCTTCTAGAGTAGGCACTAACCTTATTCATCACTGTATCTACAATACCTGCCATAGTACCTGTTACTATAGGATCCTGTGCTGGTCATTCTCTATTTCGCACTCCAAACCCCCAGTTTTCTATTCTCTGAACTCCTCTATCCTTTTGCATATCCCATCTCCAAGGAGGTAATTAAAATTGATCCTGTAGACTATATCCCTCTGGTTCAGTGGGCCTCTAGCTTCTACTTTGGTTGGGCCAATGAGAGGCAGCAGCAGTAAATTGAAGCCTTCAAAGTAAGAAAAGACCTGGGATTTCTTCCCTGTCTTGGTTCAGTGACTCTGACAGTGGCTACAGCTCCTGAAACAGAGGAACCCCTTCCACAGCTGCAGCTGTCACTGGGTTTCTGTACTCTTGTTCTTACGTGGCTCAGCATCTTTGGTTGGTTCACCTTGCCTGACTCTGTGAAGAGCCATGACATTTAATTTTACTCAGATATTTCAGCAGAAATTGCGGTTTGTTTCTTTCTGGAATCCTGACTGATATGGCATTTGATAAATATTAGTCAAATTGAAGTAAATCACAGTGAGAATTCCTGGGATGAATTCCTGCAACTACTAGATCTCCAGCTTGTAGCATTTCTACCAGGTGAATGTAGTCATTGATAGGATGAAGCAGGAACAAAGTGAGTTGATTGAATATTCGGCTTTGGCTGCAGTATGCTTTCACTCTGAATAAGAAGTATCAGTTCTCAATTTATGGGTTTGCCTTCCCCACTATATTGTGAGTTCTTCTAGAGTAGGCACTAACCTTATTCCTCACTGTAACTAGAATACAAGACCAAGAGTCAAAAGAGATAACAGCACACGGAAAGAACAGAAAAATAATTAGCATGTGTGGGGCATAAAGGAGCATGATGAAGAAAGGGGTCACATGAAGTAATAGATTCATCTCTAACAATACCAATCTTGCAATTTGTGAATTTTCTCTTATTAAAAAGATTTATGGGCCGGGCGCGGTGGCTCACACCTATAATCCTAGCACTCTGGGAGGCTGAGGCTGGAGGCTTTAAAAACTCTCATATGTTTAGAGTTTGAAATCAATAACATAACATAATCAACTTCATTCTCTACTTAAGTGGCACTCCTCACACTTTTAAAAACAGAGATGACCTTAGCCATCTGACTGGGTAATACTGACCCAAAGGAGTTACACCTTATAATGATTCAAAGGTTTCTGGTTTAAGAGATTGAATAGATAGTTTTACTGATCCCTAATGTATCTGGAATATCCTAGAGTTGCCATGTTTCAGCTATTAATAACCAAATTAATCATATCAGTAAATGAACGCTGAGAAACAGAGTTCTTTAGAAGCATACAGGGAACAATATCACATGAACCCCTACCTTAGATGAATGATGAAAATAGCAAAGCAAATATACTAATAGCTGTGTTTTTCTTTTGAATGTTATGATTATTTTACCTACTTTTATTTCTAATAAAGAATAAATAAATTGATGTATTATTTATAGCTCTCTATGTATTTTTATAAAAATAAATTCAGAAGTTAAAAAGATCTTTCTTCTGGATCATGAATTTTAATGCACAAAATATGTTTACCTGAGTGCTGTAAAGATGACACCAAAATTCTCCTTACCAATGTATTTATAGTTGTTTGTCTTCTCTTTAATAGAATAGCATTTAACAGAGAACTGAGAAAATCTCCAAATACTGTACAATAACCTTAAGCTACTACCACCTCACTTCTGTTTTCAAAGAGAGATATATGCAGAGGAAATGTTGTAGGCAAAGACACATTTTTGTCACACATTAGATCTCTGTTCTCAATCCCCTAATTGGTAACTAGGCCTGGACCAGATCTTTGTCTTAACAAAGGTCATTTCTTGTTCCACTGACTAATTTCTAGACCTTGAAAAGCCTAAGAAGTCTCCCTGTACTCCTCAGACCCATAGTGTGATCATCCATCATTCTGCAGGTGACAGGAGATGGAAAGATTAAGTTAGAGGAACTAGAAGGCTGCAGTCTAGTTTAGAGCAGAAATACCATCAGCTGCCTGTTCCATGTGTCCTTTGCCTCATCTACTCTCCTTTGCTTTCATCTGGGCTTGGGCTTGTTTCTTCTTGGATCTCTAATCATGAATACTTCTCCTTTTAAGTCTCTCCTTCAGGCTATTCCCAATGACTATTAACATAAGACAGGAAAGAGAACAATGTAAAACAATCTCAAGACAAGGGAAGTCTCCTTGAAAGATAAAAGAGCCAAAATTGGGCTACATTGAAGAAAGAACTTTTGATTTTTTATTTTGTTTATTTTTTTATTTTTTAAATTTCAGAATATTATGGGGGTACAGACATTTTGATTATATATATATTCCTTTGCATTAGAGGAATAACTTTTAATTTTGCTTTGGCCACCAAAGTTCAATTCCCCAGCCCTATGTATAATTCTGTGTCTTTGATGCTTAGGTGGAAGGAGTGGATGGAAAGTTTGCTTTTCTCTAGAGTTCAATAAGCAGTATCAAAACTGCTAAATCATTCTTTTTTGTATTTTGATC